TTATATATATATACATATATATATATATATATATATATATATATATATATATATATATATATATATATATATATATATATATAAAATACATGTGGGAGCCACGAGAGAAATATAAGAATATAAAATATATCTTAAATATTATATAAATAATAAAATATTTATTATAATTCACATTCTATAAGTTTATCATCTTAGGCTACTTTGATAGTTACAAGTTAAATAGAATTTAATAAATAATTTATAAATAATATTTATTTAATATATATATATATATATATCATTTAATAATAATAATATAATAACTATAATAATTCTTGAATATTAATAAGCATGAAGAAAAACTTATATAATGATTATAATTATTATAAAACATAAATCATTCCTTTATGTAAAAACTAAATAATATTTTATTATTTTTTAATATACATATGAATAATCACATAAATATCTAAAAGTAATAATTAAAATTTAATCACCACAAGTAAATAAAAATTACCAATATTTCATATGAGAAAATTATAAAAAATCATAATTTATATGTTTTTTTAAAAACTTCATATGAACCCTAAATTAAACCAATCAACCCTATTTAAGTCTTGAATTGGACTATCCGAATTGGGTTTATGGATTTGAGCATAACATCACTCTAATTAGGTCAGTTGACTAAAGTCATATTCAGTCAAAATTAGGATACGATAAAAATAAAAATTGATCGAGAACAAAATTGATCAAAAAGTAAATTCTAATCAAATTAAGTCTAAATCAAGCTAGATCAAAATCAGCTAAGCTATAGTCAAAATTCAAGTCTGGTCAAAGTTTAAGATTAATCGAGGTAAAAATTGATCGAACTTGAAATCAGATTAGGCCATAATCGAGGTTAAAAATTGGACTTCCCCAAATTAAGACAAAATCAGGATTGATCAGGTCAAAATTCATAGATCAAGAATCTAAAAGCCTAAATTATAAGGCTCGGACAATTTTGGTTCAAAATTGAATCTTGACTAAATCAGCACTAAATCTTGCCCGTGCATGGCACCTCCGCGATCTGCGGCTTCTCCACCGCGCACGATCCTTGGCAGCTAATGACCCACCGACAACCTGCATCCACTACAGCACCACGCGACGCCTCCACCAACCTGCGCGGCTCCTCCGGCGCAACCTGCGTGTAGCTCCTTCAGTGCTTGCGCGGCGCCGGCCTCGGTCAGCAAACACCGTGTGGTAACCTCACGGCGGCCACTTTTCATTGGATCGGCAGGCGACACCTTGCCGTGGACACCCCATGGCCTTCCTCACCGCGGAACCTCCGTCACGTGGTCGCCATGCATTGACGCCCGTCGCCGCCTATGCTATCGTCCGTGGAACCATCCTACAGTGCGTCCACCGTCCGGGGCGTGTTATGATACAACCCCGCCAATGCGATGCCTCCACTGTGAGTCGCCGTCGCAATCCCTCTGCAGCAGGCCACCATCTATGACCACGTGATCGCTCACTGGCGGCCTCCACCCTACCTTGGAAAATGGCCATCACCATGTTGCAACCTGCTTCACCCTCACCGAAGGTAGGATCCTCTCTACGGCCGGCAACTACCTACACAGCCGCTGCCCTCCTGTCGTCCGCTATTTCTTCGTGCCAGCGCACCCGACGATGTGTAGCGCCGCCTGCGACCAAATCTTACCGTTGTAGGTAGGAGCAACGCCACTAAAGTAGCTACCACCGACGGTGGCAACAGCCGCATGAAATGGGATTGTCATAGCACTTCAGCTGCTCGGCTACTGTACGCAGCAACCGTCTCACCAGTCAGCTGCCCTCAACAGCCTGTCGATCAGCCAAGAACATTAAGAAACAGATCTAAAAATAAAATAACTTAGATATACTTTTATGATCTAATGTATTTTGATTTCAAAATTTTTTTTATACCAATTGTTATCATTAAAACTATAATTATACTATTATATAAAAAAAATTTAATATCAAATATTAAAATTAAATATTTATAAATAAAATATTATGAATGTATTCCTTTCTATGTCATTCAGAATATTTTTATTCTAATATGCAAATACACCGTCATTCACTTCGAATGAAGCAATGATATTGATTTATAAGGAGAATTATATCATTTTCTATCCTTTATATGACTATAATAAAATATCGATTAAAAAAATTAAAAATATATTTATAATTTTAAATTTTGATGATTCATCCGTAAGAAGTCATCTTTTTATAATTAAAAATAAAGGTCTAATTAGAAAAGTTCTTTTCGTCACACTCATCTCGTAATGAATCTTATCATAAGTAAATTTTCTTTTAATTAATCGATAACTATAATTAGAATATAATCAAATCTATAATATATCTTATCTAATTAAATAGAATCATATAGTTTAACGTACTCGATCGTAGCAAACACCCATATGACTCCAAAGAACAACAATAAAATAAAATATGAAGGAGAGAAAAAGAACAAGATAAATCGGACCAAAGCTGGCATGGTGCACGGGGTCTCTCCACCCTAAATGCTAATGCCCACTTTCCATCTGGGATCACATCATAATCAAGTGGATTCCTACATTGATCACTTTGATGAGATAATTATTTTAGTAATTTTATTGAGCCTAAATCGTTAATCAAAATGACTAAATTAAAATTAATAATAATACATTCATTTTAAGTTAATTTGAATTCATGTGAGACTAATTAAGATGGTTACGGGATTGATTGTTTGCCACCGAATACCTCTCCATGGCTCCGTTGGTCATCACCTTGTGCTCGACGCTCTTGTTGACATGGTTGCTCCATGCCTACCACAAGCCACATCAAACATCCCAAAATATTTGATTTCACGGTTCTGAATCGAATTAGAATTATACTCACCAAACTTGTCGAACATCCCAAAATATTTGATCGACTATGAAAGAAAACAATATCTTAAATATGAATCATTCAGGATATATTTTTAACATCAAATATAATGTTGTAGGCAATGATTATCTAATCATCGAATCTTTTCTAATCCACTTTTAAATTAGATTTTTAAGATTACATTTAGTAATAAACCCCTGAGGTCCACTAACCACCACCAACTACTCTGCGTGCCAGAAGTCCGAAGATTCATTACCCAATTCTGCCCGCTCCATCCTCACATCATCATCATCATCGAGATTCGTCAAAACGCGCATGTGCCTGACCCATGGCGTTGATTGTGGAGAGAGTCGAGCGTTTGATGAGCTTGGAACCACCAACGTCGATTCAAATCTTCCTGAAACAACAGTTCACCACAGCGTGAGTCCGTGATGGCCATGGGAGGAAATTTACATTCGAGATCACCGCTTGACTCCCGCAGGGAAATGGAGACGAAGATGGAGGGCAGAGAGAACTCGGAAGAGTCTATCTTGATCGTGTGATTGTGAAGCCGAGAGAGTTCGACCGCCAGTCGATTCCCAGCAATAATTAAAGTCGGAGACATCCCAAGTTCTGCTTCTTCATTCTCTGAACCTTCCGGTTTCATCTGCTGCTCTGTTCATCGAGAGATGCATACGTGAGGAAGCGACCGAAGAAAGTAAACAAATCTGGTTGGTACGAGCTTGAGTCTAAGCTGACGAGAGTAGCGGGTAGGGAAGTGGATTGCCTTTGCTGGCAGACGCTGAAAAGACGCATTAAATTGCACTTATAATCCTGACCGACATGGCTTCCACGCCATTTTGTATTCATGGGAGACTGCTTGGGGTACGATTTCGAGTCCCGTGAGCGGGCAACGAATCATTGATGTACTATTCTTGGGAGCCTTCCATGGACATGACATCACTCCATGTTTCTTCTGTTCTTTGTGCAATTTCCCGCGCAGCTGTGCAGGTTCTTGTGAGCATGCGTTTGATGCATCTGACACTCAATAGCTTGAACTTTCGAACACGAGAATGGAGAGTCCCATAACGCTTTCTGTGGTGATCACCAGCTGCGTTTTCATGCAAGTGTTGGATACTAACATCAACTCTTCGTGCAAGAATGAACCGTATAATTTAGATTGGCTGAATCATTCTGCAAACTCGCAAGAGTGATGGGATCTCGGTGGCCAGAAGAGACAACGAGATACAGGAGAGATTCGATCCACCTACTTAACAGGATCGTCGGGAGTAGAGTATGATCCGAATTCATCAGGGCGATCATTACAACCCGGGCTTTGCGGAGGTTGAACTCCCCAGCAAGTAGAAGAACAGCACACGTGGTGAGATCCAGTAAGTGTAGGTGGGATCCAGGTTAAACTAATGCTTGCGCACACCTTTCTCTCCGTAACTCACAGGCATTCTTTTGCTGGCTGTCACGCAGTTAAAAATGGCATTTTTTTGCTGACAAAGGGAGAGATGGACATGGCATGGGAGCCATTTGTGGCAGGACCTTATAAAATGGGAGACATTTTCCTGCAGTGCCTCCTCGGTTCCGAGAGACCCTCTCTCCTGTGGTGGTGGTGGTGGTGTTGCAGCAGCAGCTGCTGCACTTTTCTCTTTTTCTGAGGCCAAGGTGGCTGTTAAAGCCTGGTGCTCTTGCCCTCTTACCCCATCTCGAGAGTAGTTATGCCCACAAATCGATGGTAGGATCGACATTTGCAAAAGGGAAGAAGGAAAAAAGAAGCCATCGTATTCGTTTCCAACAGCTGTTTCCTCTCCATTGTGCCTTCTCTGCTTTTGCTTCGCTTCCAGTTTCCTGTTGAGAAAAGAGGTACAGTTCTCATCCACATTGGATAGCTCTACTATTCGAGTATGATAAGGAAACGAAGAGAAAATCTTACTCCATGTGCGTTTCGTTCTGAGGCTTCTGCTTCTATGTAGTAGTACATTGGTTTAGTAGACATCTAGTTCTTGCATTATTCTGTGTCAATGTTCCTTTTCTAGCTCTGCATACATTTGTAGTCTTCATCTCTCTTCTTTTCCTTCATTTTTCTGTCCTTGAACGCATCAAAGTATGCAATTTGTATGTAAAAGGGCGGCTTCTCTTCCCTTCATTGACTCCATTTGTTTTCAGTTGAGGATCAAACGTAAGAGATGTCAAAAAGGGGCAATTTTATAGGTTTAGATGCTTCTTCAGGAACACCATAGTGCTAATTGAGAGACAGAAACCTCAGATGAGTATATTAGCAAGAGCGGTGGTTCCTCTTCGTTCTTCATTGCTTCTTGAAAATTTGGCTTTTTGAATTTTTGTTCAAAAAAATATTTCTTTCCTTTTTTTTGCCTCATAATTTTCTATCACTAGCATTCAATATCTACAGATATTGGATTCGAATGAAAATTTCCGTTTGGTCTTTTCCACATTTATATCATGTTGCTCCTGTGAAAATGCTTGCATACAGATATGTTATTTTATGGCAAAAAAAAATGGGGGTGGGCTATATACGATTCAGATCCACATGCAATTAATTATAGGTCTACTTTGTTCTTTGATAAGCTCCATTTTCTGTGGGACCAAAAAGATATTGTTAGATTCCGTTTCAAAGGGATACATCTTTTTGCATGTCCTAATAAATAATTTGCTAGGTCTGACCTATTAGAACATCACTGTTTGGAGCGTTGTGATGATGCAGTTGAGGTTACTATATGCATTGCCAAGCTCTCTGTTATCTAAAATTGTACAGCAGTGAGAGGCCCTTTGGTGGCAGCCGACTTGGAATTAGAAGCTACTTGAAGTGATTTCTCAAGATGGAAGTGACTTTAAGTCTTTAACACAAGTTACTGAACATTATTAGTATAAAATTTTGGTTTCTTTGATGCTGATGACTTCTCAAACATTAAGACTGCAAGTGGGAATGACACTAACTATTAACTGCTACAATGCAGGGGATGGCAGAATAAGTTTACTGATCAAGAATAAGGTCAAGAGAAATATAAACAGATCGGAAGTCATAAAGAGGAGAATGTAATAGCAAATTAGTGATTGCAATTGTCTGGTAATGACACCACCACTCTCACACTGATGCAGTCAGCTTGAATGTAAAAAAATGAAAGAATGTGGAAATGGAAGACTATTACTGTTAGGTTGGAATACTTGTTGGAAAAAAGTAAACAGCAGAACTAGGAAACTCTTACAAAGCTTGTATATGGTGATATTTGTTGCAGTAGTAAAAGTGAGTTTGGTTACACGGTTTAAATCAAGATTTTAATTAGTTAACATCTGTTTAATGGAACGTGATCCGCCACCATGTTTTGGTGTTCTTGAAGTTCCTTTGGTGCCTTCATGTGATATTGTTTGTCTCATTTTTTAGCACCTTATGATTTCCATCCACTTCTCTGCAATGCCAGGTCACCGCCATGGATAAAGGGGGATATGTGGTTTTGGACATTGACAATCTTACACAGCCACCTGAGAAATGCTACGCTGGGAGTCCAAAGATGACTGTGTGTACTACAATTTTCAACTTTGTCCTTCTTTGCTGTATATATAAATATCATGGAATATGTATATACAAAATAGTTGCTAGATTTGTTAGCTTTATAAATCTTCGATGATTTACAGAAGGCACTTTCTCGTAAGGGATCAAACCGCATGGAGAAACGGACTAGTGATGAGCAAGAAGCAGATGATGAAACCAAAAGGCTTGTGGCCAAAGGTATGTGCTGTACATAATCCTGTTTTCCATGACCCTCTTGAATTTTTGGAAAGTATGTAGCATATGTAATTAACACTAAAAACTGGTTTGGTTTAATATTCCATCTCAAAAGCTTCCTATGTTAACTGCACAAAACCGACTTGTGCATCAGCCAGTACCAGGTAGCAGTATCAACCTATTTCTGAAAATGAACTTTCTACGACAACTAATTTCCTCATTAAAAGGCACATAACATTGTGTTGTACATTGTTAACTCTGTAACTTATAATTGTGTGTACATCGTAGAAAATGAACTTTCTACAACAAGTGTGTCACGTTGCGACACACTGGATATTGAGAATGAAACTTGACCTTGTTTGTGCTGTTAAAAATTAAGGTTCACTATCTGCCAATGTTCTCATAATGGCATGAGACTGTCAAATTGTAGTAACTCCACCTGACTTTTAACTTGAATGCCTTTTTCTTGGCAGCTGCACCTTCTCAGCTGGAGCAGCTGAAGCAGTCCCTGCTGACAAACAAATCTCTCACAACAGCGCAATCTGCAGCAAATGCTCCCATGCTTCTGGATTCTGGAGAAGGGCACAAAAGATTAAATCGTCTATCTGTCATCCATCCACACAGAGTTCTTCTTGTCTTTGCCACCATGTAAGTGCCTTGATAAACATTTACTACGGAAACAGCATGACCGACCATTTGAATTCTATAAAACTCATGTTATCATACTAAGTTGTGCAACTCCATTTGTTATCAGATATTTTCGAATTTTCCTCTTCAGCTTTTCATAATGATTCTCATGACCATTTTCTTATTCATCTACAAGACGAATTTGATGCTTTATGCTTGTTTGTTAGACAAGTTATTTCTGTAAAATGAAAAATTTCAGTAATAGTATTAACATATAAACCTTAAGTACTAGTCTGTGACAAACTTGTTGCCAAACAATTAGACGATGCTTCAACCTGCACAAACATCAATTTTGTTTTACGGTCCAGTCTGACCTGGTTGACCACAACCCTGTCCTATGGATTAGTTTCCATCAGGATACTTCTAACACAGCAAATAAGCATTTCAGTCTTCAGTGATAATAATACTTCATTGTTTACTGACGCAATTTCATTTTCTACGAATGCAGAAGCAAACGTTACTGTGAATTGGTTTGTGGCATCAATTACTTGTAACTGGATCGTTCATTTTACTAAGGTCACCTGGACTTCTTAACTACTTTACCTACCAAAAATTCAAATGTAGGAAAAATTCATAATAAGGTTGGCAATCATTACTGCTATGTCATGTACCCGTGGTCCCTTCCCCAATTAAATGAGCATTCCTTGGCAATGGACCCTGCAAATATATTGAAGCTGTTATAGGTTGATGTGCCTTAAATGGCTAAACATGGAAAACATCCAATTATTGATTGGATCCAATTGCTCGAGGTCTATCAGCACTTGGTACCTGTTTACTCATTTGAATCCTGACAGTTCACCATTTGCATTTCTATGCTTCCTTGCTTTGTTTTATTTACTTGTAGTTAAGTTACACTCAGATGTCTCCTAAAACGATAATGCTCGATTGTATCTTTCTCTGGTCTTAATTGGCAGGTCATGCTTGGGGACGACGATTCTAATATATTTCACTCTGGCCATCAGACAAAGAAATGGATCTCAACTCAGTCTTTAAATTCTCTGGGGAAAGTGCAGCTCACTTAAATTTTACTCTCAGGGTGTGTAGCTGAAGAAACATACCACATGTGAAGAGAATCAACACAATCAATTTCCTGTATTCCTCATCTCTGCATTGTGCAGTGGAGCAATCATGGTGGAAGCAAGTTTGCAAGTCTTTGTACTGGATTTGGTGGTGTGAGATATGGCTGAAATGCTACAGTTAGTGCTGTGATGCAGTGGACTGGAGGGGGCTGCCTTGAGTACCTCCAGAGATCTGACTCATTGCTGCACTGCTCATTGTTATGTTTTGAGTGTGCTTGGCAGTTCTTGCTATAAAGCTTTCTGAGCTTGGTTAATGCTAAAGTGTGATGATCAACATTATTTTTTCTTTGCCAATTTTGAGTGATATTCCCAACTTTCTCTTTCTTCTTGTTTCTATTAGTTGCAAAGGCCAAAGTGACATTTATTACCCACTTTTTTTCTCTTTTGCAAATAGAGAGTGCTCAAATTTGGAGAAGTAATTTAGGGGAAGTCGCAATTAGAGAAAAAATTGAGTGATCATACTATCAAGCATGATCAATATCTTTAATAGCTAATAAGAGTCATGAAATAGTTGTCTTGTGAAGTAAGATGGAAATCCTATCACTAAATACTTATCCACATTTTTATTTTTGCAAATGACAAGAATGAATATTCCATTTTGGGTTTGATCTAAATGATGTAAAATGCCTTATTGTCTCAGACACAAAAAAAAAAAGAGGAAAAAAAAGGGGAAGAGAACCAACAACTTGTCCTTCAAGATTAAAAGCACTCAAAATCTACCATCAACATTCAGCAGAATATAAATCTAATTTGGAGTATGAGCAGCCCAGTGCAAAACTTGCGTTCAACCTATGTATCAACTAACAAAATTTTTTCCCAATTTCTTCTGAAGTGAAAGATGAAGTTTTGCCCAGAAAATTTAGCTTTATTTTGGTTAATTTCTCATCAATCTGTTGGATATTCTTTGATGTATATTTGACAGAGAGAGACATCTTCTCTAATTTTCTGAGGAAAAGATGAAAATTTTTCTGATCAGTATTAAACTGTACAACCATTCGATTAGGCAAGCAAAAGGGATTGGCCGGAGAAGTTGCTTGATCTGTGTGGAGGGACAGCAGGCCTGCCACTGACAAAGTTGTGCCTCCTTCCACCAATACAAGACAATGAACTCTTGGAAGCCTTCTTTGTGATGGTCTTGGAACACTGTTTGGGAAACAGTGGTTTCTGATTGTCCAATCCCCAAACATAACTCCTGCAAGACTTCATCTTCTTCCTGTGTGGTCTCTCAGGCTTGGCAAGATCCTCCAAGCACTTCACATCGGACAAAGATGTGAACGTCTGAGAGCTCCCCTGGTAATACCTCGACAGCCCTCTCCTGTTCATACAACAAGATGTAAGCAGACGAGAAACTCATACAACATGTACATCCCCAAACATGGATGGAAGGCACGTAAGCATGAGGCCGAAAGCACTCGACAGATTGAATCATGGAGGTGTACTTGAGGATATATGCTTACTTCAACGGAAGATGAGCTAACAGCGAAGACATCTCATTCAGCGGCTCGCGATCATGTTGGTCTTTCTCAGTTGCAGGCGACGAGGGCGACGCAGAAGAGGTGGCGTCGTCCATGGAGTCCGAGGACGAGGAAGAAGCGTTCGAGTTTCTCGAGAAACTCTCCAACGACGAAGACACAGACCTTAGCTCCTCCTCCTCAACCATGGTCCCATGGCTGCCTTGCGGGATCAAAGAAGCATCCATTCTCGACTATGATGCCTCTCGACTTTCCTGCTTTATACCTCAAGGCTTCCCTCCACCCTACCATGCGTTAACCCTGCAAGAGCAGCACCCTCTAAGATCTTCCACCGATTCATTCCAAGCCTATAATCCTCAGCTTCATATGATTCTGACATGAACCGCAACAGCAGCAGTCGTTGCGCAGAGACGGGAAGAAAGCTGAGTCTTCATTGTAGGGCGAGAGCAGGCTATAAAAAGGGAGCAGGTGCATTGAGGATAAGCATTGGTGGGTTTTCATGAGACTTTATTGGGTTTTAGATTCGGCGTTATCCACAAACCAGCTTTCGTGATCCTTCTTTTGTACTGCCGGGACAGGGGAACACGGATAAGCTCTTCGCCGCTCTGTCTGTCTGTACCCGATCGTCTTCCTCCCCATCCTGCACCCACAAACCGCCCATGGGTTTCCAGAATACAGGGAGTACTTACGTGCAGTGTCTATATCAAACATTTACAGGGTAATGAAGACTGCAAATAAATCTTTTTATTTATTTATTTATTTATTTTACAGATGTGACTCGAACGTATCAATTCACTTAGTAAAAGATGTGGGTATTGTGAAAGTCGATTTATGTTATATAAATAGTTGTTTTATTTATAGACTGCAGGAATCAAATACATCGATGGGAGTCTTTCTATCTCACAAGGAGCTCATGAGTCTCCAGTGACTATACCTTCGTAACGCCACTCCAACTACGACAACTTGATGGCGACAACCATCTCTTATAGTAGCTGATCATCTGCAAATGGTCTTTTGAGGTGTTCTCAAGGCACTGTTGCGGCTGAAAGCGGTAAGACCATGTGAGTCTTATCAATTTGTGGTGGAAGTAGGATGTGCCTCGATTGATTAAAGCCTTGAATCTTCTTTCAAGGAAAAGGATATCAAACAGCCACCTGGATGTCTTATCTTTTTGGCTGTTTGCAGAAACACAGACTGTTTTTCTATTCTTTTTTTCTTTTCTAAGAAACTAAAATAATTATGTTGTAAGAAAAAAAGGCCAAAAGATAATAATAAACAAATGGCTTGCTGGAATTTTAGTATCATGTGGTTACACAATTATGAGGGAGATTTTGGCATAATATAGGGTCTACTAGCACACTTTTACAACCTGCACTATGCTAAAGTAAATGTTCTGTTTAGTTTCCAAGCTTTTTCCTATTCTTCCTATGGTGAAAAGGAAGAAGAAGAGGCATGAACAAGCCTTCAGCACCCAGGTCTGCATATGCTCTTCTTTTCCTCCTCTTGGGGGCAAGCATATTAATATCCACTGTAGTATAATTTTCAGAACATTTTAGTGGCAGCACATAGCATATAAGTGTCAATGAATTCTCATTTTGGCAGCATATATATGTATATATGCACAAAGTTTCCTATTAAACTCTGATGGTGATTTCTTCCTTGTTAAGTAGCTGCTGCTCTCTCTTTTCTAAATATCTTGTATTCAAGACTTGTAATCTCTCCTGGAAAAGGGATTTTAGGAATTTCAGCTGCCCATTCATTTTTTTTTCTAATGCTTCTTTGATTTGTCTTTTGAGAAATAGAATGTTTTGTTTGTTTTACATTAGAGAACTCAGCATCTGATCATGTGTGCAATGCTTTCTTCTTCTTCTTCTTCTTCAGGTCATTCTGTTGGAATCATGTTTCTTATATCCTTTTTCTAGCTTGGTGCCAAAATGTTTCATAAAACCATTTTTAATGTGAACTTCTTTACCTTCTCTCCCCATTTTGTCAAAGAATAATTTTGGTTGCAAAGAAATGTGTGCCTGTAAGAAACAAACAATTTTAAGTTTGGTAGCCAAGTATATAGCATACTCGTACAATTTAAGTTCCTCATCTGCTTAATACAGTCCTTTAAGGTTACTTAATCTGCCACTTATTTTCAATGAACAAGGTCCAAAAATGCCCCATTTATTTCATCTGTAGATGCTGCTGAGACCATATGAATGATCAAAATTCAGGCTTCGACCTTTTCATATTCACTACTTTCTCTTGTCCATTCATCATGCTCAGGGTAGCAAACTGATGGCTGCTATTGTTACTGTTCCCGATAGAGTTGGATGAGCTTCGTCTTCCAGAAGAGAGGGTACTGTAATCTCTGATCTTTGGTGTTGGCACTGAAAATAAATTGTGTTTTTTGCTTTAACACTGTTTCTTGGCCCAAACACCAAGTGTTGGGTTTTAGCAGCTCAGATATCTTATCCCTGTGGCTATCTTCTCACTCTCCACAAAGCTGCAGCCGTGGGAATGCTTGCTTATGACATAGAGAAACTTTCCGACCAAGAAGCTGTCAAAACTTTGTGATGTTGCAGATGAAGAAGATGATATCGGATGCAAAAGATCAGAGGTTAGTTTCTTTGCTTGTACTCATCAGATGGCGCTTGAAAGGTTTCATGGTTCTGATCATAAGATCTTGAAGTGAAAACACGCTTAATATGCTTCTTCAATATGTTATCATAAGATCTAGAAGTGTGTTAAACTAAAATTTCATAAACCCAACCCAAAGCACTCTTATGGATTGATCGAAAAATGTAAGATTTCAGTTGAAAGTCAACCCACTGAAAACTAAATTTGTTGGTGACGACATCCGAAATTTGTCGCTTACATGCACCTAAATCTAAATCCGTAAGGCTGTGGTCCACATAGTGAATCTGACCCAAACTCAATCAGTGTACTGAGTTTTGGACCAGAATATTAGGCTGTTTAAATTATTTCCCAACATCAATTCCATCTGATTACATTTGCATTTTTAGTCACGAGATTATGATTTCTGGCCCTCCACACCCACAATAGAAAACGCATGAAGCTTATCGACACCCCCCCTCCTAAATTCCACCACCGGATAATAAACCTCACCACGACGTTACCCACTTCATAATCTTCGGTATGGAAAACCCCCCCGACGTCGAACATAAAACGTTACATAGCTAATTTGGACCGTGCCGGTGTTATGGCTTTTTTGGCAATAAACAAATTAGTAGGGGGTAAAACGAAAAAAGTATAACGAGTGCTTCTGTCAATATAAGTTCAACGGGGGGTTTCGTAAGGCGTTTTTGGGAATATATAGTTTGAGTAGGGGGTTACACGTAAAAAGGGTGACATTATACCTGTCCTCCGACCACTATAAGCCTTAACTCCGTCCCCTCCTCCCGCTCCGCCTCGCTATCCGTTTCGCTTCTCTCTTCCTTTCTCTGTAATCTAAAAAAGAAAAGCGTAGAGAGAGAAAGAGAGAAGAGAGAGGAGAAGAAAAGCCGCAGCAGAAGCCAATGCCCAAAAAGCCATGTCCGAAGCCGCCGAACACTCCTCCGCCTTAGCCCTCCTCCACCACCACCACCAACCGCCGCCACATCCGCATGCGCAGCCTCCCGCCTCCCCTTCCGCGGCCGGCGGCATCGTCCGATGCTACCGCAAGGGCAACTGGACGCTCCACGAGACCCTCATCCTCATCACCGCCAAGCGCCTCGACGACGAACGCCGCGCCGGGGCCTCCTCCTCCTTGGCGCACTGCTCCCCCTCCGCCGCCGCGGGAGGCGGCCCCGTGGCCGTTCCCAGGTCCGCGGAGCAACGGTGGAAGTGGGTCGAGAACTACTGCTGGCGCAACGGCTGTCTGCGGAGCCAGAACCAGTGCAACGACAAGTGGGACAACCTCCTCCGCGACTACAAGAAGGTGCGCGGCTACGAGGCCCGAGCCGGCGGCGGGGAGCTACCGTCTTACTGGGCCATGGAGCGGCACGAGCGGAAGGAGCGCAACCTCCCCACGAACCTCGCCGGCGAGGTTTTTGAGGCCCTGACCGACGTCCTAAGCCGCCGCGCCGCACGCCGGGCCAACGCCACCCCGGTCTCCTCCCGTCCACCCCCTCCACCCCCCTCGCCCCCCCGGCTGCCGCAGCCGCCTGCCAACCCTCCGCCTCCCCCTCCTCTTCCTCCTCCTCCGCCACCCCCACCACCGCCAGCACAGCCGTCTGTTTCCGGTACGCTTGGATCCTTAATGCCCGTAATAATCTTTCTCTCTCTTCTGCTCCCTACAATACTCTTTTAATCAACGCAAAAAAAAAAAAGACAATTTTTTGGGGCCTTATATCATTGTCCTAAGCTATAAAAGTTAAAATCAGACTAGTTTCCAACATAACGAAAAGGTTAGTGGTCTGTGACAGTAAAGATGCAATCTTTCTGTGATACGCCTCCATCCCATTCCCTTCGGATGTCTCTAGCTCTTTTGCCTGCTGCTTCATTCTATCTTAATATATCTAGGAAATAATATAGTATGATATATTTTATATATCCCTTGAATTATAATACACACCCTCCTATCAGAAAGATGATATTATTTTGACGCATAAGCTTTCCTTGGCATGACAGAATAGATCTGATTCCATTTTAATATAAAGATTTAACTACAGTGCCATATGATACTCACAACCCATCTCCCCCACCTTTCTTCCATGCAGTATTTTTATCATGAAAACCAAAAGGTGTTCACTTGCATAAAGATCTCGATTATAAAAAGTGTAAGGGAAAGTATTAACAAGCTTTCGGTTTGATCTTTCGGAGTTAAAAACTATGAAATATGTTCTAAAGCTACAGTCTTGTATATGTTTTACGTGCTAGAATATCCATTGATGTACTTTAAAAAGCCTTCCTTTTGAGCTCTCTGTGGATCAAATATCATCACTAATCTTCCTAAAGTTGCCGCCTTTTTCACCTTTTACGTGTCAAAGATCGGATTCTTCTTCTTCGATCGTCGCTGTTTCTTTAGTCTATGCTTGTTGTTCTTGGTGCAGTGGAGATGTCGGAATCGTCGGAGTCGGAGGAGAACGAGGAGGCGGGGGCGGCGGAGCCGGAGGCGAAGCGGCGCCGGCTGCGGCGGTTAGGGTCGAGCGTGGTGCGGAGCGCGACGGTGCTGGCGCGGACCCTGCTCGCGTGCGAGGAGAAGCGGGAGCAGCGCCACCGGGAGCTGGTGGAGCTGGAGGAGCGGCGTCTGCGGCTGGAGGAGGAGCGGACGGAGATGCGGCGCCAGGGCTTCGCCGGGCTCATCTCCGCCGTCAACAACCTATCCGGCGCGATCCACGCCCTTGTCGCCGACCACCGCAACGGCGACCACAGGTGAACCGCACCAGACCAGACCGGACCGGACCGTCTCCTCTCCCAATCTGGCCCAACACGGAGTCAGTGGTTCGGTTGTAAATAAATGGCCTTCAAGCGGGTATCAATTTTTTGGGTGCGATTATTGATTTGTTTCGACATATTACCCTTCCTGTCCTCCGTTCTCTCTCGTTTCTAGGGATGTGGCACGATACCCGCTACATGATTTGTACGTATGGTGGGCCACCATCGACGTACACACATGTGGTGCACAAGAAAATCTCCCAATTTCTACTTATTCTAAATTATTTTATTTATTTATTTTTGGGCTGCTATGTGAGATTTGGGAAAGAGGAGGAACGACTATTGCGGTCAAAGAGGGTGGGGCCGGAGGGATCAGGCTTTTTTTTTTTCGATCGGAGGACAACGTTGCCCCTGGTGCATACGGTCAATTACAGTGACACCTGGAGATGTCTACGGGCGAAAGGGACGGCTAGTTTTGTCGGCTTCTCCCCTCGTGGGCATTTTCGTCATAAGAAAAGCCGATCATTGATTGGGTTGTGCGGCTCTCCCTTGTTCTGTTGCGTACATTAATCGTACCTAACTCAAATGTACCCGCGTCCCACGACACATGGCCCACAGCGCTATGAAGTCAGGTACAGGACGGCGTCTGCTCCGATGGGGTGAGGTGGACAAAAGGACCTGACACACTGAGCCACTATTGGCTGTGCCGCGGTCAAAGGCCGGGTTTGACCGGTTCCCTGAGATCCCATCGCCCGCCCACGATTCCTTTCCTTCCCGAAATGCCCCTGTCAGGTTTGAAATGACCGTTTCGCTCCTCGTCGCATCCCCCCCACACCCTTCTTCGTATCGACACGTAGCGCAGGTAACGGCCGTGACGCTCCCGGTAACGGCGGGTGGGTGAGTCGGGGAATTGAAACGGTAACGGCGGGTTATGCTTCTTTTTCTTCTTTCTCGATAATGATTGAAGGCGAGTCAGAAGGAAACAGGCTCGTGAATTGTTGTGTGTACGGGGGAAGGGGGGTGTGAGAGTGCGATGACTGTTATAAATCATTACCGCTTTGTTCCCTTTGCACAGTAAAAGTTGAAAAAGCATGTTAAACAGGAAGCACTATGCTGTTTTTGATGATTAAACGAATTATTCTTGATCCAACGTGTTCTTTCTACATTCAACTTTCTGCTTGTTAAACCCCAAGATTGCTACCCATCCATCACATTTGAGGTTTACAGATACTACGACAGATGGGTGTGGAAACATCTCATGCGTTGCTTTCTTCTTCTTATATTGTCGTTTTTCTTTCTTTGTTTCCATTAAATTTGATCCAGTGCAGGGAGCTTATAGACTAGCAGAAATGGTAACAACACCTTGATCAGAGAGCCATCTTCTTCAAGAAGTGGGAAGCAAAAGTATTTCTTTCTTTTCATCGATCCTTTGATCCGAGGAGTGAGCGAGTCTTCGTATACGGGGGGAGAAGAGTTCGTAAGTGGAAATTGATTCTGCACTCAAAGTCTCCTTTCTGTGTTTGGATCCAACAGCATAAAGTTTCTGCCACGGACACTTTATCTACAGCATGGTGTAACATTTTCTAATGCGTTAAAGGGTTTTATAGCTGAGGTTTATGACTGCAACAACATCATCCTGCATGAGTTGCATGTGCAAGCTCTAGTTCCAGCAGTGAAGCCAAGGCAACTTGGTGCAGTAGAGTTGTCGGAAATGGATAGCAATTTAGACTTGCATGCGTTTGGTACCGATCGAGTTACTTGCAGTAACTCTGAGGTCATTATGGGAGAGCGACAGAGTGCTTACCTTTGGGACATATAGAGTGAGGAAGAGATAGCAACCGAGCCTCTCAAATGGGTATGCGGTCACTGCGTGGGAATGGATGATTAGCACAGATGAGTGGGAGAGAGAGAGAGAGAGAGAGAGAGAGAGAGAGAGGGCGCATTGCTACGTCTGAGCAGAAGTCAGAAGCAGCAGCAATGGCCTGACACACAACGCAGCAACCACAACAAATGATGGGTGTCCTCGGTCAAATATGCCAGTCAAACACCACTAAACTATTAAATACAAAAAGCCACCACCATCTCTCCTCCCGCTGCGAATGACCTCCCTGCTCCTTCCCCCTTGAAGACACTCCCTGCCCATTCCCATGTGACAGAAGCCACCCCTCCTCTCGTGCCAATCATCTCCCCCTCTCACACCAATCATCTCCTCCACCTCAAACACCTCCTCCACTGATTAACCCATGTCTCCCATAACTCCAAAGGAGCTAAAGTAGATTGACCCGAGCCTCTCTTCTACCTTTGTGGAGTAAATAAGTACTATTCTCTGTTGACCATCAACTCTTCTTGATGTCTGCGATTGTAGTAGGCCTCTTTTAGACTCTCATTGTTTTATCCATCGCCAGGAAAAGCCTTTTCTGATCCTTGATTAAGACAAGGCATATGCAAACCTGATTTAGTTGTACCATGAACCAGCCTCTTATTTCGAGTCACAAGAACAAATCACAGTTTCAGAACAGATATTGGCGTTTCCTAGTGTGTCAAACAAATGGAAAAGGAAGACAGGTGAGGACGAGAAACTTTTGTGTTTGAATCTGTTCCGATACGAAGGCTCCTGAGCGTGCCTGTCATCATCGGAACTGTATGATTCACGGACTTCCACGAGCATCCACCATTAGGAGTAGTGATACCATTTTACTGTGTCTGCTGTAGTACTGCTTCAGCGATTTACTACTGCATGTAAAGGTTATTGTGATGTGAAAGAGAGGCTGATTAATAGGTATAATATGATTTCATTGGATAACAAAAAGAGAATGTCGTTGTGGTCGCACTGCGCAGCGCCCAGCGGTCACCCACAGTATCAGAACCAGGAACAGGATATGCTCGAAACTCCTCAGAAAAGGAATCAGGATTTGTCACAGTTGCTCCCACAGACTCTGCCTTGGACAGCCAACACAGCTGCAACTACCGACTCCTTCCACAAAAGGCACATAAAAGGAATGGGAAAAGGTTATAGGGTTCTAAGTGATGATAGAATAAAGAGATGAACATAAATGAAGAAGAAAAGAGAGAAGACGAAACGAAGATAATTATTCATCGACATAAATTTAATTAAACCAACAAAAAGAAGAAAGCCGAGTAGATTAATGTATTGTTGGACTAAGATAAAAAATTTTCCTACTAAGTTTAGAATTTTTTTTGATCTCATGTAATAAAGAATTTATTATTATTATTTTTTTACGTGACATCCATTTTTTAATTTATTTTATATTTATTAATTTTTAAAAATGATGAAAGAAACCTACAGCGCTCTTTTTATAAAAATCAATATGACATTATTAACATAAATAAATAAACATAAAATTGAAAATGGAACAAAGTGGAGCTAAAACGAGGCCCACTGAGAGAGCCCATCAAATGTGACCCTTTGGACCGGTCCGGCTCAATTGCCTTCGTCTTCTTATCACTGCCCTCGACCGAGAAACCCCACGCCAGTCCTCTGGCTCACTTCCCCACCCTCGAGGGAAAGCAAAGATTTGGAGCCCTCTCTCGAGTCTCCCCATGGAAGCTGTCGCTCCAGGGACCTCCTTAGCGGTATTTCGCACATCCTGTTGGCGGCGCGGTTCTCGTGCGGGGATCCCTGCTCTTCGCGATTTCTCAGGTGTGCGGTGCCGGAAACGTGCCCTTCGTCTCCGTGCGGCGGCGACGTCGTCGGACGTTGGACGTATCGATGCTAGTCGGGGTTCGGAACCAGTGGAGGTGATAGGGATCGGAAGTAGGAAGGATGCAGTCATCGATTTCTGCTTGAATTCTCCCACCGTTTCCGCCTCTCGCCTCAGATTTTGGTAAGCGACCTGGAAAGATTTCTCCCTTCATTTAACTCTTTACTTGGTCTGGTTGTTGAAAATTCGGAATGCTGAATGACTACAAAGCTAGAAAGTGTGGCCCAAGGTTGAGGCAATCTTGGGAGTTTGTAATTTTTGTTGTTTATTGCAGAATGATGGCTGACGTCTAAGTCTGTTAATCTATTTGTAATTTTGCACTATGTAGACAGTAAAGAACTAAAAAGCATGATTTGTTTCAAGAAACCTGGAAAAACTGAAAAGAAAAAGAACACTTTGCTTCAAGAAACCTGGAAAGTACAACTACTAGTGTACAAATTGTTATTATTATCATTGTTATTGTTATTTGTTTATTAATGCTTGTTGAAAACATGTGTCATATGTTGGCGCATTCTCGAGGGACTGGTATGGTTCCCTTGGTGGATCTCTGTGCTGACTTTCTGTCTTATAATTGGCTCCATCTTTTCTACCTTGAGATTGTAGTTTGACATTAATAGTGCATTGATGGTAATTGTTGTGAATTTCTTGCATAGCTTCATATTTAATATATAAGAGGTTATTGGGAGAAAGACCAAGATACATGCTTTTTGTCTGATGATCGACTCTACATCTGCTGGAGCTAGCTATTTGTGGTATTAAAATTTACTTAATTCCGTGCCTTTATTGATGGAAAGTAAGAGATCGTAAGACTATGCCAATAAGCATCATGTTGTGAGGTAATGGACCAGCATGGATTGTACACAAAGGTATTCTCGTGTGTCATTTGCCTTTTCCAGTAGTGGTCTGGTTGCTGATTCTTTAAGTATGTTATGGCATCATAATTGTGGTTTAAAATTTTGGTAAAGGAACATTACAATCCTTAGGTAGGTCAGTATGGGTCTGGTATATACCAAACTAGCGAAAAAGAAGACCATGTATCAGGGAATTTTTTGGACTTTTAGTCACATACAGTAAAAAATCATTGAATACAATATTTTTGTTTAGAAAATAGTAAAGAATGAATCAAAACTTGTTTCGGGTATGGATTGCAAACTATATCTAAAAAATACATGTATATAAGCATGATATATTTGATAGAAAATATGATGACATACCAGAAACTGAAACATACCTGAAACTATGGTCCACCATGGAGGTGGGTCGGGGTCCTCATTGTGGCTCAATCTAATTAATTAAACCCATTTGGATTCTTTGGATCTCTGATATATCCATAAAAATCTGACCTACATCATATTATTTTAGATGATTTTTTGAGGTTCTAATCTAGATTGACTTGATACTCGTGGATCGGGCCTTAATT